TCCGAGTCGAATACTGTGGATTGGGCGTTTCTCTCGCGAGACAATACTACCACGCGAGAAAGAGGTCCGACGAGTCGCCGCTCGAGTATCTCCATCGTCTCACAGTGTTGGGCCTCTGAGCCAAGCTGGCGATCAAGACTGGAACGCCGGCCGCTCTCCGGGAACACGTGGAACATTTCATTGAGACCTTAGATGACCGTGACCTCGCGGACCAGTTGACCTTGCTGCGCCTTGCACATGGGAACGCATTGACGGACGTGCTCGTATACGCCAGCGTTCGAAGTCCCGACAGGGGAAAGCAGCTGCAGGATCGACCACGTATCGCCAGAAAGATCCTTCAGCACCTCTATAAGCGTCGTCTAAACCTACTCGAGCGGTACGCTCCATCCACATAGCGATCGACAGTGACAGTTCAGAATCAGATTCCGGAAGATCGGTCCTGGACCAAGGTCGTTCCCAAGTCTACCTTGCGGCGGTCACAGACCAACGCAAGTCTGAGTCTCCGCTGGAGCCGCGCCGTGACCCCTAACCTTCGCCAAACAACGCCGATCAGCAATCTCGCCGTCGACACGACGATTGTACAGAGAAATGTTCCCACTGTGGGTCCACGAGGCACTCCGATCTTGGGTGTTGGAAGTGTTTGACCTGCCAAAAGTGCGGCAGAAGGGGGCGTCCAGGTGATCATACCTGTACGTCTGCCTAGCGTGTGGCGAAGTTCACGAGGCCGGCGAATGCCCGATGGAAGCGTTTTACAACTTGATTCGCCAGTGGTAAGATCCCACGCGTCACACTGGGATGTTTACTTCGAAGGGGGAGAAAATGGTAAACTAGAACGCTCACCAGGTTGGAGTTTGGTACGAGCCGAGCGTTCTAAGTTCTGCATATATGCATACGTTGACAGGCAAGCGAAGTCGAAGGTCAGTTCTCCGAAGGATCCTATCAACAATACACGTGAAATTCATGAGAAACGTGCCTTCACGATCGCGAGACTCCGGAAGGATGAATATGCGCGATCGTATGTTGTGATGGAACTGGACTTAACTGATGGAAAGACCCGTGGGTACTGGAAAGATCATACCCCAGACACGGAGCCCGGAAACCCCAAGGCCGTGAACTCGATGACGAGAACCCCACCAGATATTGGCTGGGACCTTAGACCAGTGAATCGCGAGGATACTGGAAGGATTACTCGTCCGGCAAGTGGTTCAAGCAGGCGAAGATCACTGGGAAGATTAACAACTCGAAGGCCACAATGCTCTTAGGCTCTGGCGCAGAAGTCTCAATCGTGGACACCATCTTTGCTCGTAAGATTGACTGTATCATAGACGAGAGTCAGAAACAAGAATGTGTGGGGATCGGAGAGAATGTCTACACGACGTTGGGGCGCACCACGATCAAGGTCACGCTGGCCGGGTATCTGCTGTATTTCTTCGGATGCTTGGGTTGGTGCTATCGCTGGTCAGGATGCGATCTTGAGAATGGACTTCATGGTCCCAGCCGGTATCCGCCTCGATCTTGCCGACGGCACGATGTGTTAGGCCGATGAAGTCAGGTTCCAGCTATCAGGACGAGGTCCGCCGTATGGTCGAAGCAGGCACTCGCTATTGCTGGAGGACGACGTCGCGATCCCCGTCGGTGATTCGGTCGAAGTTCCCCTGAAGGCACCACGCGCGTTAGACCCAGAGAAATTGTGGATCGTGCGTGGAGAACATTGGGTACCTACCGTCACGAAGGGACTTGGGCGCAGGCGACACTTGCGGATCACCAATGTTGGTGATCACGAGCTCCGCCTGCATCGAAGCACGGACCTGGGCATGTGGTTCGCCGAAGATCTTGTCCCCCACGTGCCAGGCCACGTGTCGGTCGGGTCGCGCTGATACGCAGAGTGGCAAACGACCGCAGTCGAAGCGACGACCGATCAACGGGATTGTGAGGAGCCACCCATTGATTCTTCAGAACCGCTAATGGAGCACCCTCAGTACGACCCACCAACGAAGATTCTGAAAAGAGGTGAAACGACTCCGCGACCAATGGTCGCAGCTGCGACTGTCCGCTAGGCGGAGCCAATTGTGACTGACGCAAAACCCTCAGAGCACAAGCTAGTCGCGGAAGAGGAGGTCACCCATCAAGGTGGCCAGGTGAACGAGGAAGGAGAGGTTCATGCGGAACCAGGGGCTGACCAACCTTGGATGCTGAAATAACGGGGCCCACTCTCGTGGAAGACGCCCCAGCAGAAGAAACCCCAGAAGAATCGAGGATCGAAGAACTGGAGGAGCCAGCGGAGATCCAAGAAGACGCTGAAGGGTATTACCACGATGGTGGTAGCCTCTCTGCGGAGGATCTCGATGGACTGATAGCCATCTTGCCGGAGATTGTTAACACGACCGAAGAAATCAAGATCGAAGACGTCCAAGCCGGAGACCCCAAGTGGAATACGCCGGAAGAGATCAACCGACGTCGACGCATCATCTGGAGAAGGAACCATCTCCTGATCGGGAAAGCGAACGCATTGCCGCCGGCAGTAGTCGGAGTAGTCTGTGATATTGACGTAGGCGGTGCAGCCCCGTGTTCGCCGAGTAGCGCCTCAATATCGGAGAAGTTATCCGACTTGATCAAGGGCCTGCTAGACGCGAGGATTATCGCCCTTTCCGCCTCTCCATGGGTGTCGCCGATCGTGATCATCATTAACCGGGGTCGACATTCGTCTCTGTATTGACTACCGCTTGGTGAACTCGCTCACTCGGCTGATGGTGTACCCCATGCCGCTGATCAACGATCTTTTGGAGGATCTTGACAAAATTCTCTGGTATTGTTCCTTGGACATGGCGAGCGGATTCTAGGTAGTGCAAATGACGGAGCGAGCGCGTGAGATCTCGGCATGCATTACGATTTTCGGATTGTTAGAGTGGCCTCGCATGCCTTTCGGATTGAAGAACGCGCCGCAAATCTACCAGCAGCTTCTCGGCAATGACCTGTACGGATTCCCCAAGATCGGAAATGGCGAGAACGCAGAAGACCAAGCCGACGTGTTCACCTCAGGAGAGCCAGAGATGGGTCACGGATCTTCGGTGCTGGGACGACGGTCGTACATCGACGACATCTTGGCCACTGCTGATTCGTGGGACAATCTCTGTGAGAAGGTTGAAGGACTGCTCGACGCCTGCGATCGTTGGAACTTGTCGATCAGCGTGGTGAAGAGCGCATGGGGCATGCGCAAGGTCGATTACCTTGGCCACCGAGTCTCGATCAAAGGCCTGGAAGCTCACCCCAAGGACTTGGAGTTGCTGTGTAACTTGCCGTTCCGCAGACCCTGCGTGCGATGCAGTCGTTCCTCGGCAGTTTGAATTACTACAGACGCTTCATCGAGGACTTCGCCGTGTATGCCGCGATCTTGTACGAACAGCGTGAGTCGGACTTCTTCGAGCTGCGTCGCCGAACGAAGGTCGTGGATCATCCAGTGCAGACAGGGGCTGTCGACCAAGACGAGATTGATGAAGACCGCTGGACGCAAGCCACGGTCGAGTTCACCATGCCGAAGGCGAAGATCGTCTCGACACCGATCCTGAAACACTTCGACCCTGGCCACCCACCCGTGATCGTAGTTTACGCGAACAAGTGGGCGATCTCCGCAGCCTTGATGCAGGAACATGATGGCGTGTTCTGGTCAGTGACCTTCACCAGTTGCATCTTGAAGACGAGCGAACTAAATCACGGGATCGTCGAGAAGGAGGTATTGGCATTGCTGAGAATCTTGGGCGTATGCCACACTATGCTGGTCTTCAAGACGATCAAGGTTCTGACGCGATACTCGACCCTGGCTTGGCTGCTGAAATCCTCAGGTCTGCAAGGCCGCTTGGGTTCATGGGCCACCCTCCTGTCACAGTGGACGTTGGAGATCGTGCGGTGCGCGAAGGGCGAGGACGAAGTCTAAGGAACCCTTGCCGCGAGCATCACTCCACAAGAAGAGGTTGACGAAGCCCTGGCGGCGGTGGCCCCGAAGAAGCAGCCTCGGCAAGTGATCATGGCGCCCGAACCGACGGTCGAGCTGAGCGAAGAGCTGACCGTGGTGAGTTTCGATGGATCTGCGCGGGTGAAACGTGGCGGTGGAGCATACAGCGCATTTGTATGGAACCTACCCGAGTGGACGATCATCACCGTGTCGTCGGCATATGCGACCCAGATGACGGTGAAAGAGGCCGAATATCATGGGTTGATCTTGTACCTGGATGTCCTGGCGAATTGTGACAGGGGACGCTTGGTGATCTGCGTCGAGTCCAACTTGGTGATCCGCCAAATGCGAGGCAAAATCGCATGCAAGGCACCCGCGCTGCAGCTCCTTCGTGAGGAAGTGAAGGGGAAACTCTCGACGTGGCCTCAGCACGAGTTCGTGCACGTAAAGCGGGAATGGAACCGAAGCGCAGATCGTCTTGCTAGCGAAGCTTTACAGGCGGAAGCTGGTACGGTTGTTACGTCGACGGAGGTCTTCGAGGACTTGATAACACTCAAGCGACTGGGAGAGATCCTGAAGCCAAAGAGCAAGGACAATGTCGTTCACGTGTCGGTGGTGACTCGATCATCGACGAGGAAACGATCCCCACATGAATATCTGCAAGAATAAGGGGTACAAAGCATGAGGTTAGAACGCATCGCTCGAGCGCAAGGAGAAGAGAAGTGGATCGCCGATCTGAAGATGTACCTGACAGGGGACGTAGCTGATCTCACCGCGAAGGACGCTCGATCGTGTGCGAAGATCGCTGACTCGTATGAAGTTGACGATGACGGACTTCTGCTGTATTGTCCGCCCTCTGCCTCGATAGCCTACGAAGATCGCGACGCGGCCGTCAAGCGGGTGATCCCTGAGCTCCTTCGTCAGGACTTCTTACACCACTATCACGCGAGCTTGGAAGGTGGACACCCCGGAAACATACGCCAGGATCAAGCAGCATTTCCACTGGAGAGGCTTGTTTCGTGACGTGCAGCGATATGTGAGTCAGTGTGTGGACTGTGAGGCCGGAAAAGGAAGACCTACCATTCAAGGAAGATCGCCCGGAAACCTTCAGGCCACGTACCCGTTCCAGATCATTGCCATGGATCACATCCCGTCGCTGCCAAAGTCGTACAAAGGAACCACAGAGCTTCTAATCTGGGTAGACTTGTTCACCGGTTACGTGCTCGCGAAAGCGAGTGGCACCCGAACGGCACAGCAGATCGCCGAAAGCTACGAGGAGAGTGCGTTCCGTCGTTTCGGTGCGAGTGAGGTTATTTGGCACGATCGCGAACCTGGGTTCATGTCTGATGTCTTCCCCGCGTTCAAACGCATAGTTGGTCAGCGACAAAGCCCCACGATGGCTTATCGACCCCAGGCCAATGGCACAGCGGAGAGGATGGTGCAGACGCTGACCCGAGCCGTGAAGATGTATGCCGTTGACGTGAACCAAACTGGGACTAGTATGTCGAGCGCCTGACGTTTGCGTTGAACACTGCCCAGGATCGCGTTCGAGGTGACACGCCGTTCTTCCTTGTTCATGGATGGGATCCGCGATCAACCTTAGAAGCTTCGCTTCCGGTAGGAATCACTCGCCGTTGAGATCGCGATCCACGTCGATGGCGAAACCATGTGCAGCGTCACTACTAACGCGCTCGCGAAGTCGCCAACGAGCGTCTGCGTGAAGCTATTCGCGATCGGGCCGACCACTATAACGAAGGTCTTCGTCCGCATAACATCAAGGCCAGAGACCAGGTATGGTTATATCTTGATCGCGTCAAGGTCGGCTACGCACGGAAGCTTGCGCACCTCTGGCATGGACCGTTCCGCGTGACTGAGATGATCGACGATCCCGCGGCGAGGATCGATATCGCTGGGACTAAATACCGGATCTTCCCAATCGTTCACGTGTCGAAGCTCAAGCCGGTTAGGCATTTCCCTGCATTTCCCTGATCGGCCGAAGCTGGAACTCGCCGTCCCGGAGGAAGAATGTGTGGATTTTGATGAAGCACCCCTGCCGGAAGACAGTTGGGTTCGAGAGTTAGATGAGGATGAGTACGAGGTGGACGAGATTATGAACATACATTCGTCTCGGAGGACGCGCTACGGGCGGAACTACCGCGAGTACTTGGTACGCTGGAAGGGGTACGACGAGCCGACTTGGGCGGACGAAGTGGATTTAAATTGTGGAGCGCTGCTCCGTGCGTTTGAGAGAAGCAAGGTCAGCCGCAGCAGGGTTGGAGTCATGCAATCCCACGAAGAGGAAGTGGGCAGAGACCCGTCACACTAGTTGCGAGGGGTTAATTCGTGCGAAAAGGTCGCACGGATGGGTTGTATGTGTTTAGAATGAGTACAAGAAGAAACACTTCGAAAGTTAATTTCGAATTCTCGCAAAGGAGCTACGTGCTAAGCCGAACTGCCTAGGAACCTTCCCCGTCGCGGAAGAACTTCTCGTCGAGCCGACCGATACGCGATCCAGGATGATCCAAGATATTCGCGCGGTACTGGTTACGCCAGGGATCTGCGACGTCAACCATCTGTAAGGCGGTAAAGAGGTCAGCTAGACGTTGTGGGCTCCCCAAGCCGGGATACCAGTGGACCTGTTCGTTGCGCGCTGGCAAATGCAAGAAATACGGGTCCAAAAAGAGATCGAGATCGCATTCGCCACTGATGAGGCCCTGCAGCAGATATTTTAGCAGCCGTTTCCAGCGAGGCCCCGTACGCATCCTGCGGACACGACAACCCTTCTGGTGCTGCTTCAGGAATGGGGATGCCTTGGTACCGATTGGAAGCTTGTGGGTGGTCTCCCAAAACACTTGCAGGTGAGCCTCTAAAATTGGTGTAGCGCTGACAGAAGCCAGCAAACCACCCGGTCAGTTCAAAGGATCGATGTACTACCGGGCGACGAAGAGCTTCCCACGGAGGTGGTGTGGTCGCATACATGGCCCGAATGTTGGACTCAGTGATTAGGTCCGGATACCACGAGTCGATACTAGGAGCCTTAGTGCTCTAAGAGAACAGCCAGGATATCGGCCACGTCCACAAGTTGCACAAAGTGTCGATGTTTAATTGTTTGATGCAGATACGGCTGACATCTTTGAGGGACCAAGGAGCGCAGTCTCTGAGTGCGTGGTACCGAACCGGTCGTCGATAACCGGGGATCCACTGATCGCTCGGGATCACTGTGGGTAGGAGATCACGGTACTAGTGCCGATTCAAGATACTATTGTCTGACATGTGGGACGAGGTGGGCTCGGAACTGCTGCTATGGCTGAATCCACCGATACCTGGACCACCGCTTCCATTCTCAGCCTCTTCGTTGCTGGAGTCGACACATTCCTGAGCTTCATCGCCGTCGCGATCATTCTTGCTAGAAGCCTCGACACGATCGTCATCACTTCTGCTGAAAGCATTGTCTCTGCCATGATCACCTAGACCAGGAAGATCACCACCGTCGCTGACAAGGATGGGGTCGCTGGGGGAACCTTGAAGATGCTCCTGTCGACCGATCGCAGGAAGAAACAACGAGTAGTGAGTGGGCAGCGGATTGGATCCTCCTTCGTTATCCTCATCGTCGTTCTCATCGTCGGAGTGGATACAGAGAGGACCACACTGACGTTTGGCTCGATTATTGGATATGGATCCAGTTAGTGGCCGCTTGTGTGTCTGTTCTGGAACAAAGTTGCCTAGGGTGTGCGTGGACGCTTGGATGACTTTCGCGGAGAACACCCAGCAGCACGAGGTGAATCTTGCCGAATTCTGAGAAGCTCGTAACGATGTTGGTAAAAGGCGACGAACGGTACTGCTTGTTGCTCAATTCGAGTCAACGTCGCCCGAAGAACCTACGTCTCGCAATACTCCCAATTCAACAACTCTAGAATAGTATTTGCGCATTCGAAGATCTTGGTAAACCACTGCTGAGTTCAGAATTCAAATATTTTTGGTACTGTTCCTATCTATCCAAAATGATTCCAGAACTAGCTCAATATCTTAATATCTATACTTATCCATATCAAATAAAGATATAACTTGATTGATAAGTGTAACGGCTTTCAAAACACTCCATTCCCTACGATAGGATCGTAATGATCCGGAATCGACACAAAGATCGTCGCTCCCAAAGCAACTCAATGGAGCAAGCGACTAAGATGCTCCAATACTAATATATTTTAATGGAAGGTAGCTATCAATATATTTAAAATGTAGGTTTATTTTATCGCAAAATTAGTTATGTAGAATTGGGCGCAAAGCACAACTCAACGTCTCTCATTTTCCCATAATAGGATTCCCATCGTCGTTTTCATAAGATGTGTTGCAACTTGCAACTTGCAATTAGTTTTTTAATTACCTCGAAATATGATGCAAAGATTTATTATATATATCAACCGACGAAGGCTACAAGCACAACTAGAACCTAGGACAGAGTGCAGACGGAATTGTCATGTGGGGTGCATGTGGAAGAAGCGTAAACAGAGCAACAATTATGGACAATGCACGGAAAGAAGCGCATCTACATGTAGATTTTGGCAAGATGATTATGTCATGCCCCGGTCAGACCATAATACTACGTTATACACCCATTCAATAATGCTATAGCAATTATAATTAAAATACATGAATAGCAAAATGAATTTCTACGACAAGGATTACGATACATACGATATGCTAGGAACGGTCTGCCTAACATGAATATTATGGTTAGAGGGATAGATACTTGTTCGCACAGACATAGTTACGAATAGCATTGTGTTTAGGTGTTAAGGTGGTATTGTGTTAAATGCAAGCACCCAGGCAAAAGAAGACCATCATCTTCGCGCTCATTGACCGCGTCCAATTACTCGCGATCCTGAGGGTTACGTGAGCATGAAAGAGAGATATTACATAAAGGTGAATTTAAATACCGATTTGAGGCGTGCTTTAATTGCGTTGGACCCAGCCGTTGACGTGTCATTGTGAACAGCAAGTTCGCGGCGTTCAGAGGCCTCAAGGGGAAGTACAAGACGTTCGATGGCAGTCTGCTGGACTTTATACCGCTGGAGACCGAGAAGCCACACGCGTTGGCACGTCGCTACACGTCTCCGGACGAGAGCGCCTTCCTCAAGCTCCTCATGCCCGATCCGATCCTGTCGATCATTGACTAGCCGCACGTACGCAACCCGAATCGGATCAACATCAACAACCAGATCAGGCGCGTGTACCTGAAGAGGATTCTGTCTGGTTTGACGACGGTCGCTAGTGACGACACGGCGGTATAAATACTTGGATAGTAGGATTTATGGTGCGATGTACATATGATCGTGTGACTTTTGTGCTACAGTACGTATCTACGGCGATGGCCAACCTATCGGTGCTGCAGGCTCTGAGTAAGCGTATCCAAAGTAGCACGGAAGCCCTATTCTATTGAGAAGTGAATCGGTAGGGCCAGTAGCTTGACTTGTGTACCTCGAAGCAAATGAAAGACTGATAGACTGATTGTTAGCCTTGGTTCACTCTGTTCTGCTAACAACCTCCACGAGCTCCGCCCGCTCCTTCAAGGGCTACATGTAGGTCATGTGCTTCATCTTCTTCAGCGTTTCGCCCGTAGCTACCCCCAACGTCCCAGTTGTCGCTCCGGTTGGGCATACCGATGTTGGTTCTGCTGTTGCTGGTTTTCTCGCCGCTATCGCTGGTCCCTTTACAGCTAACAACAGCTCCTTACTGTTCCAGGCCAGGTCAATACAAATTGCAACACGCCCTTCGTGAAGCATTGCTTCGATTACCAAGAGATTTTCTACGGATGCTGTGAGTCCTTCTGGCCGCCAATTCCGATCAACCGCAACAGAGACTTCAGCCAAACTTCGTCCAAAGGTTTGGTGAAGAAGTCTGCTGGATTAACACCTCTTTTGATCTTGTGCAAAAGAAGGTCACCCTTTTCCACTTGCTCTCGCACGAAGTGCCAACACAGCTCGATGTGCCTTGTGCGCCGACTATAAGTCGGATTGGTGCCATTATGAGCGCTGCTTGATTGTCAATGCCCAGCTTTAACTCCACATTTTGTCTTCGGTAAAATCTCTTGTAGCATGTTGCTTTCTGCGATAGCCTCCATTGTTGCTGCACATGTATATATATTCCGCCTCGGTCGTCGACAAGGCCAAGATGCTTTGTTTTCCCGACATCCAGGAAATCGCACCACAGGCAAGTGTGAAGACGAATCCTGTTGTACTCTTGCAGGATTCTGGATCATTGGCCCAGTCGCTGTCACAATAATCGTTAAGCCCGACGTCACCATCGACATGTCCCGCTCTTTCGTAGAAAATTCCATAGTTGACTGTCCCTACCAGGTACCGAAGCTTCAAAGTCCCGACATGATTCTTTGATGGTTTTCCCACGAAGCGGTTCAGCTGACTCACGACAAATGCTAAATCCGGCCTAGTGCTAGTCGCCACGTACATCAGCATTCCAATCGCCTCGCGATAAGGAAAACTGGTATCGTTTTCTTCC